AAAGTTTGCCCTGCAGCCTGCGTCCTCGGAATGCGCCGCTGAGTTTTTCCGCTTAGGGGTTTCGTTCCCTGGCAAATTTGTGCACGTCGTGTTGGTGTTGCCGTTGCTGTCGAACTGTTTACCTTCACAGAAGTAGACGCGCTTTTCATAGGAACACAAAGCCGACACGTGCGGTCCGCACAGACGGATAACTTCTCCAGCGGCAATGCACAAGGAAAGCATCTGGAATCAATAAAGCAGCTGCTACGGTGTGAAAGACGAAAAAAAAAAGAAATACTCGTAGGAACGCGAAGGCGAAGTGCAAAGCTGTACATATAGGGCAGGTGCGCCTGCGGGGGAGGGAGCGCTGAGGTGTTCTGGTAAAAGGGTAGGTTTGAAAAAAGGAAGAAGAGCGAAGCAATGCCAGGAAAGTTGCAGTGTAACTTTGGCAGCTGGTGGTCGCTGTGAAGGCGTGTAAATATTTTAGTATCACCCGAAAAGTTGAACCATCAAAAAAATTTTGGGGGAGTCAGAACCCCCTTACCCCCCCCCCCCCCCCCCTAGTTACGAGCCTGGAGACGCCGCTGTGAAACGCCAACGCTGCGCCGAGAGCCCTCTTTTAAAGACGATATTCTTTCTTGGAATACTTCGACACAAAAATTTTGGCCTGTCTTTGTGTCTGCCTGCCTGTCTGTTTGTACATTTATCTGTTTGTCTGCCGTAACGCTGCGTCAAACGGCCCCAAACGATATTCCAAACGACCAACCCCATGCATAGCTGCCACCAATATTGCTCATGTTTTGTGCGATATTCAACTAAAAAGCAATTATTGCGCATATCTGAGGTACAATGACAACACGTCAATATTCTGTATGTGTGTCTTTATACTAGAGAATAAGTGATTGTAAGGGCCGTAGCATTTATCACGCTGCGCTGACAATACAACGCTATGTTCAAAAAGGCACGTGTTTCCAATGCTTTTCTCCAAAGCGATGGGCAGGTGCCACGGTGGTGGCACCTGTCCGTCGCGTTGCGTTCTACACTTTATTGCCTCAGATACAAGTGCGCATGCCTTCCTTCGTATTCAAAGATAACTGCCAGATAGCGCTCGTGTTTAAAGCCCGAAGCACACGTACGCTGCCTTAGTGCGAGCAGGAGTGCATCAGCGCGCATACCCCGGGCCACTCGCACACTACACTCGCAGGCGTGCGCCGGTGCGCGCTTATCTCAAGCAAGCGAGAATAGACGGTGGCGTCGCATACTAAGCTGTTTATGAGCTTCGAAGTGATTCATTTGAGCTTGACCACTCTCCGTAAGTCGAGGGGGTGCCGAACAAAGCCATATGTACTGCACCACTTGGCACAGCCATGCAAACACGAGTGCACTGCACATCGATACGCGCACGATGCGTAGTGCACTGCTGGCACGTATGCCGAATCCGGCGCAATGTGATCGAGCCCAATGAGTGCTGCTGGTTAAAACTATTCAGCACTACAAAGCATGGCCAGACGAACATGAGAACACACTAGAGTGCATGGTGTCCATTGCTACGAAGTGCACGATGCGTTGTGCGAAACAGAGCCAAGCAGTCTCATGCAGTCATGTATTGTGGCGAAATATGTATGAATAGAGCTCGTAAATGAATACATATGGCTGTGAGTGTACTTGTCCTGTATGTAGGGATATAAAATATGCACGAAAAGGAAAGAAAAGGTAATTTGAATTAGTTCCTACACGCCGGCTAGGTCGATGTCTGAGTATAGCCATGACGTTGTTTCATATCTGCAGGGCTCCAAGCGTGGCCAGCGCAGCTAGACGTGCGCCATCTCAAGGGCGAAATCAGATCGCCGCAGTCATTTGCGTACGCAGAGTGTTTAGGTGGGCTTATGACATCTGCGTATCCATGGCCCCCGGAGCGGATACTGCGTGTGCTCCGGCAGCGTGCGTGTGGTTCAAGCTTAACGTGCCTCGATGCGCTCATTCGCCTTCGCTGCACAGATCGAGACACTCTAACGCAGCGCTTCCAGAACACAATTCACAGATTTCCTCATGCAGAACATCAAATAACCGTTTTGTTCACCCTCTCCAGACGCAAGATAATCGTCTTTCAAAGAAATTTGCAGTGGTACATGTAGATACGGGGCCAATTTTTCTTGTTCACTTCATATTAACTCTGCACGCTAACTACTAGAGCTTGAAACACATACCGCGTTTCTCACGACATAGTAGTATTAGTATTTTTTAACTGTGCATGCTCACTACTAGAGCTAGAAATGCATACCGCGAGAGAAAAACGCCATATGCGGCGAAGGGCGCTATTGGCTGCACGGTGTAAGAAAAAAAAAACATTTAACGCTGGGTTCTCATGTGCGAAATGCCATTATGGATGCTATGCAATGCATTCGCACTTTCTCACGATTCCCTTCGGGCAGGTGGGGGCTTTTTTTGGTTGGTTGGTTGTATGTCATTAGATTGTCCTAGAGGAGTTTTAGGGAACCGGGCTCAGGCCTCTCACGATGAGACGTCGAGATCTTGTCTCAGCTTTTTCTTTTCTTTTTCCTCGCTTTGCCCCTCGTTCGTTCACTCCACGTCATCTCGTCCATCGTAATGACTGTGGTGTAGTAATGACCTGGTCGCTGTCTCTCCAGCAGCACACCTCCTCCTTTGAGAAGAGCACTCGCCACAGCGTTTGTCAGAAAGATTGACCAGCAACCACATTATAACTGGTCTTTTTATCTTAAGGGGCTGCACCATGAGCGGTATGTGTATACATGTGGTTGTATGAGAGGCGAAACAGGAGTTGAAAAAAGATTACGCCATCTCCCGGTAAACAGAACCATACGTCGATGCGAAGCAGCGTGCACTAACGCCTAAACTGGCAGCAAGGTTGACACTGGTGCTTATCACTGTATTGTCCAGGAAAGAAACCTGGGGACGTAAAGCACGTAGTGATGAACTGGTGTTTCCTACTAGAACATGCCAATTGCTGCTAATGGGCAGTGAGAAACAGAAGACTACGATTGGACGCGGAGATCAGCAGTCGGCTTTTAGTTAACGTGCAAGCTGCAAATTTTTATTAAACAATAATGCACAGGAAAAATCTCTCACCGGCACTACCTTGGAGGTCAACATCCAGCACTTACCGTATTTACTCGCATAATCCTCTCACTTTTTTGGCGGAAAACCGATGCAAAGTTGGGGGGTGCGAGAATTACGCGGGGAAAACTTTCCACGAAAACGTACAGAGCGAAAAAGAAAACGAAGTGGCCGCAAATCGGGATTCTCACATCAGCAACTAACAGCAAGCTTTGAGAAGTACTAATTAAAGCTTACCTCAACAGTAAAAGCACAGGTTCAACAAAAGGCAAGATTTATTTGAGACACAAAAAGTGCAAGCAAACAGTCGTCAATTAGAATACCATACGCAAAGCTTGTGGGCGTAGCAGTAGCGTACGTCTCTCAACAGGAGCCCTCAAAAAGTTAGCATAGAACATCAGTATTGGTCTGATGGCTATTTAACAGAATCGTCCGCACTTTCCTTCTGATGAAATAAATTTTACCATCAATCCCAGTTTCAGGCACACCGCAGGCCCAACGCGTCTTGGTAGCTTACAGCTGTCGTCACCAGTAGCGAACACAGAACTCATAGACTCCGAAGAGCCTACCGGCGACCCTGTTACCGTTGTTTAGTGCATGTTCTATCACTTTCAACTTGAAAGCAGCCCTGTAGCTTCAGTATCGCCCCATAACGTGACAAGGTTACCGACACAACATACAAAACATGCCGCAACGCGTACCTGCCACTTTGGCTTGGCTTGGATCGAATTGAATCTTCATGCAATAATAGTACGCTTAATGCTTAAGAGATGGTGCCAGATGGCTCGCCCTATCATCATCAGTGGTTGGAACGAGCAGACGACATTATTGCGGCAGTTTTCGAGGGTGGGATCATTACTCGAGGAAAAAAAGAAATCGTTATTTTTGTTGGGCCATGTGGGGGGTGCGAGAATTATGCGAGAAATGCGAGAAAACTTGCTAGTAGACGCTGCCTGCATTGGCGTTGCGAGGCGAGAGAGGGAAGGAGAGGTGCATGCGCAATGGCAGTGTAAACACCGCAAGAAGGAATGCCTAGAGGAGAAAGGGACGCTGGCATAGGTTAGCAGATACTTCCTGCGTCGGCGTTACGAGGTGACAGGGAGAAGCGGAGGAGGGGAAAGAAGTTGCGAATTTGAGTGTGAGTGGGGACGCCGACGTCATGGGACGTAGACCCGAACACGAAATGCTTCGCATCAAAAAATCATGTAGCAACCATGTGGTTACGTTATAAGTGGTCTGCACTTACATGCACACATACAAACACATGCACAAACAAAGAGCTGTACAAAGTATAGCAAGTTACAAACAGTCTTAACTAATGTTTTCAAAGTCATTCTGGAATATAATAGTGACATATGCACCACAAATTCAGTAATTAAAATACTTAATATTTACAAATAGATAAAAAGGAATAATAATATGTCGAAACACAGTTCTAGGTTTGATTGCCATGCATGTAATCAAATGTATTATGTCGAATTTCGTGGGGAATGGTGGCATACCACACTTTGTTGTCTCATACCAGTTGTGTGGCTCCACCCGACTTTTGCTGCATTTTATTAGTTATTTATTTACACAGTCATATGCAATAGTGTGTTACTGGATACATAATAAATTATGGGCATATGTATAAGATTATGTGTTCTATTTGACCAACTTTTTTCTCTTTTGAGCTTCGGTGCAGGTGCGAATTGATTAATGTAACGTTTAAATACTATTACACTGCCACATGGCTTTAACCCCTGGTTGTATCGCTTGCTTTATGTCGACAATGTGTGCTGAGTTCTAACGTTATGCGAAATACTAAGGTATGTAAGCTTCAGTACTTTGAGTGACTGCTTATAATATTTTCACGGTACCCCCCTCGCTATCTAGAGTGTTTTGTGTGTGACACATGACCTTATTATCCCTCCTTCTATTTGCAGTGGTCAGCCAGCAGATCCGGCACCAGCTTTTTCACGATGGCGCAACTGAAGTTTTCAGGAGATTCGTTGGGTGTGTGTACGTTGACTTGGAACAGTAGTGCTGTGTGTTGTCGAAGCATCTTACAGCATGGAAGAAGAAAGAAGCATTAATTATAAGAATGATTGGAACTGTCATACATAATGAATTGAAATAATGAATTGAAATTTTAAATAAAAACCGGGCTCATCACTGTTTTCGTTTGTTTTATTCACAACGATGAGTCTACAGCACGTATACTTACCAAACAAATAGAGCATAAAATCACAATAAAATATGACAAAGACAGAGAGTAAAGAGCACAAACTTTCAACTGTTTTATTCCACTGACGATACCAAGGAGAGCCAGCGAGTGAAGAAACGAAATATAGCCAAAGGAAAAAAAGGGCAAATCCCACATACAGTGGGAATCGATATGCGAAGCACGAATGAGGAAGGTTGATATATGTCATTTCAAATCAGCACAACGTTACTTAAAGCATGCCATACTTAGATGTCTTATCAGACCTTAGTCATCTATTCAGGTCATGTGATACTAAATTTGGTGTTTGTGGAGCTAGCAAAACGACCACGAGCATGCTGTGAGCGTAGCATGTAGTCATGTTTATATGACACGCATGTCATGATTATCATGTTTGGACATGTCATTTACCTCGTCTTCCATTTACGCCACGTATACCAGATTTGATATATGAGGAGGCAGTAAAACGGCCGCCAGCGTGCTATGAACGTAGCATGTAGTCAAATTTTACATGCCACGCTTATTATGATTATCATGTTTGGACGTGTACTTTACCTTCGTCCTCCATTTATGCCATGTAATACCAAATTTGGTATATGTTAAGCTAGCGAAACTGCCGTGAGCACATCATGAGCATGGCATGTAGTCATGACTTACATGGCATACATGTCATGATTTCTACGTTAGGGTCTGTCTCTTGTGTTCGCCATGCACTCATGTCATACCATACCAGTTTTGCAATATGTCATGTGAACGAAACCACCTCAAGAGCAGCAAGACCCTGAAATGTAAATTATGGCATTCATGACATACATGCCATAATTTTCAAGTTATGACTAGTCACTTAGGCTTGTCATACAGTCGAGTTATGTCATACTAATTTTGGGGTAAATACCATTATCGAAACGGCCAGGAGAGAGCTTAAAGTTGTAGATAGATAGATAGATAGATAGATAGGTAGATTAGATAGATAGATAGATATGCTCAAAGTCGCCGAAGTTCGCTAAGAAATGCTTTGCATTTGAAATCAATCGGCACGGAAAGCACTAGGTGATTCCGACAAGTTTTAATCAAGTCCCTGAAAACCTTAGGGTCATCCTTGGTCAACCTAAGCGATTGAATGCTGGCACGTCTCCCTCCCGCACAAGCAATCGCTACCATTTTCCTGACGCACGTACTGGTCTTTGTAGCGATCACTGCCACTTTTATCTAACTGAGGTTTGCAAAGCTAACACGCTGATGATTTGGCTTATCACCGCAGTTACGGCAGTATAAGCTGATATGTCCCTGGTTTGCGTCTATTATGTTCTTGTGCTCTTTTAGCCCCGTGTTTACGCAGCTGCCCTATGTATTGGTGTCCGCAAGAACTGATGTCGGTGTTGAATACTGCTAGGGGCTCCGGAACCGGGGGGGGGGGGCAGTGGGGGCCCTCGTTTCCACAGGTGAGAAACCATGGGCGGGGCGTGCCCCCCACTAACAGCTGATACGACCCCCTCCTCCTTTTCTCACCTTAGCAAAAATAGATGTATGTATTAACGCCCCTTCAAGTTTCTCGCAAACGCAGTCCAGTGATATCTTCCTCATTCGCTGTTATTTTGCTTCTTCCAACAAATTGGAAGGTCACGTGCAAAATGGTAAGCAGATCGAAACGTGCCCCGAGTTTCTCAAGCACAAATAACGTACGAAACGTACTCACAGGTACAGATGAACGAGGATAAGCGTATCAGTTGTTACTTCGCTGTATCTGAAAGGCGCGCCCTTTCCGCGAACGGAGACTGCAACGATTGCAGGGACCATTGTGCGCCCGGTAATTACAACAGAATGGTTTTAGATAATCCAACGTCAGCGAAGACGTCTGATCCTCCCCACCGCGAGATAAAGGCGCGCGAGTGAGCGTCCACCCCCCTCCTCTCCGCGGGGCAAAGTATGCATGGAAGATGACAGTGCGCGCCGCCGCCTCGTGACGATGCGCGCTCATTGCGCCATCTTGCTGGTAATGCTGAAAACAATGGTTGTCCCCCCCCCCCTACTAGATGCCCGTCACCAGCGGTAAATGGAAGATATGGCTTGCCGTTTGAACGTTGAAGGATGAGCTCCTTGGTGGCTTAGTGGTTAATGCCCCGCATTCGCGTCTTAGCACGTTCGATTCCGCGCGCCGGAGTTTTTCTGCATTATTTTTTTCTTGTGTTTTCGTATGTATAGATACTTATATATATATTTCTTGTGTTTTCGTATGTATGTATGTATATATATATATATATATATATATATATATATATATATATATATATATATATATATATATACGGTGAATGACACTGACGCCGGCGGCAAAATCCAGCCGAGAGTGTCCATATAATTGCTATCGCAATAAAAACTGAAGATAAACGACACATGTACAGAAAGAGTATCAACTGTGGCTACCAGGCTCATTATCGCGTTCTCTACGGCTGACCGCATGCTGCGTTCATTTAAGGAAGAAGTGGGGAGTGCCACCTGGTTGGAGACATTAAAACCCGACATGAACATTGGGTCTTCGGGCACAGGAAACTGGGCCGATGGGGCGGCCAGAGGCTTTTCTGCACAGCGTTCGAAACAATGCGTGTTAGAGACTGCACGTTTTATCTGAGCCATGGAATTCTTTGTCGCTCATAATTTTCGCGTCATCGAACAGCTTGCCGTTGCCTTCTCCGAATTTAGAGCTTTTCATTTTCGGTTGCTCACTTTGCGGGAGAGAGAGAATTTTCCACGCTCACTGACGGACAAGAACAAATGTAATGCTGATTGGTTCATGTGATGAGTATTAGTATCTGTACATAGTAACCACTTGCTAGTGTCACACACACATTATATATATATATATATATATATATATATATATATATATATATATATATATATATATATATATATATATATATATATATATATATATATATATATATAGTGGGAGTAATAATTCAATGGGCCAGTTAGTCTTCTTGAAGGTATGAGATATGGCACAACGGGAGCGTTGTCAGCAAGGATAAATATATTTATTTCCCAACAGTTTCGGGAGGCGTCCTCCCTTCATCAGGGGATGAATTATACTAACATGAACTTCCAAACTTCGTTGCTGCCGCGTCCCTCTCGCCTTAGAAGATGTTTGCGAGAGAGAGAGAACTAAAAAAAGAAAGAAAAAAAGAAAAGAAAAAAGAGAAGAAAAAAGATGAAAAGAGTGAAAGGAAAAAAAAAGAAAGTAAAAAGAGGAAGAACCACTGTCAACACTGAGAACAAAACCACATGTCCGTGCACGTCCACATCCGGTTCTAATCCCGTGCCGGTCAGTTTGCGGCGTGTGTTGGGCCACCCAAGATTGTCGCCGCCGTGGCGGGAGCGGTCCGTGACGGCGTGCGTAAGGAAAGGGTTTCCCCTTAATGGGTCGGTCGGCTCTCTTTCATCTTCGTCCGTTTCCCCTAAATGGGGAAACGGACGGATATATATATATGTTTCCCCTCAATGGGAAACACACACACACACACACACACACACACACACACACACACACACACACACACACACACACACACACACACATATATATATATATATATATATATATATATATATATATATATATATATATATATATATATATATATATATATATATATATATATATATATATATATATATATATATTGTAACGAAGAGCGGTGCGGCAGCTGTGGGCCATGGGCTGGAAAGGGAGGCAGAATAGAGCAGCTTGCCCGACGAATGGGTAGCTGGTGCTTTCGATTGCACGTCCTGTGAGAGGGGATCGGCCACACTCATCACGTTTGGTTCTTTATTAGTGGTAGAATTTTTTTGCTGATTTTTCAGGAGCCATCAATGCCGGTCTCCGGTACCGGCCAGGCCTCGCCCTGGTCGGCCAGTCGTCCTGCTGAATCGGTACCACTGGAGTGTTTCCTCAAGAACGGCGTAAGCACTTTGCCTGTCGCGCTTGTGCCCACTGAAGGTGGAGCCATTCGGTTGAGTGAAATGGAGGTGTTTAAAGAAGAACTTCGCAACATAAGCGGTCATTTTCTGGACATCTCAGATGTGAGGCGTTTCGGCAAGACTGGCATACTATGCAGGTCTTCAAATATTCAATGCTTAACAGACTTACTGGCCGCCACGAGATTTGCGTTCATTGCTGTTCGCGCTTTTATCCCCCCTAATCTTGCTTGCGTGAAGGGCATTGTTCGTGGTGTTCCAACTAACATTAGTCCTGAAGCATTCTTAAAGATGGTCTCTCCAGCTGGCGTGATATCTGTCTACAGATGCACCAGACCTGTAGGTGATACGAGAGTGCCTACTGAAAGCGTCATCGTTACCTTTGCTGGTCTCACACGCCCCTCTGAGCTGAAGGCCTGGCCTTATCTATTCCGTGTAGAGGCATTGACACCTCGCCCACTGCAATGCCGTAACTGTTGGCGATTTGGACATAGCGCTAATGCTTGCAGGTCCTCATTGAGATGTGCGAATTGCAGTGGGGCACATGCCGCATCAAATTGTCAGGTAGACAACTGCAGGTGTTGCCTATGTTATGGAGCACACACAGCCACGGACAATAGCTGCCCTGCTCGAGAACGTGAAACACAAATTCTAGATATAATGGAGAAACGCCGTTGTTCTCGGTCTGAGGCAACATCCTTCATTAAAGAGCGCGAAGTGGGGTACGCTGCTGCTACGTCACGCCAGTGTTGGTCAATTGAAGCGACGGTCGCTTGCGCAGTGTCGGCAGCAGTAGATGAGGCCATGCCGATGATTATGGAACGGCTTTTCAACACCTTTGCTGAAGGTCTGACCGAGATGTTCGCCGCCAGGTTAAACAGCCTTATTCCCTCCTTTGCTGCACACACTGTCACGGTCCATGGTGAAGCTGAGCACCTTGACAATGAACAAAATAATCGGCGTCAAGAAGATGTTACCCCT